ATACCCCCCCAAAAAAAAAACAAAAATTGCAAGTTAGCCACTAAGGTCAGAGATGGATTAGGACTATTTGCGATTTCTCTTCCATACTTGAGAATGTACAAGCTTTTAAAGTGTCGCAGATGGAAAGTTCCACCTGCGAACGTGAGTGGCTATCTGCAAATGTGAGGCTATAAAAACCTTTTTTTAACACTTATTTTTTCTAGTTTCTTGTTGGGGGAAACTCTCTCGAAGAAATTACAAATAAATGATACCTATGTAATCCAAAAATTTTATGTTTGTAATCTATTTGAATTTAGTAATGAAACCTATGTTCTAACATCCCAAAATTACAGGCCAAAAATTTCATTTTTTTAATTACGTTATTATAAACCAACATTATAATAAATCATCCATACTATCATGTCATGACAAAACCAAAGTAGAAGTAATCAAAACATGTTATCATAAAACAATATCAGAGTGTAACCCAAAGATCTCATGTGCGGAAAACCATAGTGTGATGCGTTGCGATCGAGCCGACTCCTTTCCTTTAAAAACGAGTACTTGAAACCAAAACTGAAAATCGTAAGCACAAAGCTTAGTGAGTTCCCTCATCATACCACATACCATAAAATCACATAACATACATATTGTCGGGCAATTCTGGGGTGCCCGACCTACCCGGTTCGACCATTATGGGGTGCCGACCTACCGTGTCAAGTCATTCTAGGGTGGTGACCTACCCATGTCAAGCCATTATGGGGTGCTGACCCACTCGTGTCAAATCATTATGGGGTGTTGACTTACCCTTCGGTCCTAACAACCGAACTTCGGGGACTATTTCACCCCTACTACTACTACTACCGCACATATCATAACATATTGGCAGACATATCTGGGGTGCCTGACCTACCCTTCGGTCCTTACGACCGAGATACGAGGACTATTTCACTTTACGACCGACCTACCATTCTTCTAAACAAGTCATATGGTGTGATTGGGCTTAATCACACAATTCCATTCTAATGGCCCAGAAGTGGGTCCCAATAAGTCCAAGTCCATAAATCCAATATTAGGGTTTTCTAATCCCTAATTAGGGTTTCCAACCCCATCTTAGCCCAATAGGCCCAATTGATATGTCTTTTGATTAATTAAGGTTCATTAGACTCATTAAGGTTTCATTAGGCCCAATAGTCATCTATTTGGGCTTTTAGGTTCATTAAGCTTTATTGAGCCCATTAAGGTTTATTAAGCCATTAAGCCTCATTGGGCCCATTAGGGTTTCTCAGTCCCATTGTCCAACCATCCAAACAAGTCAAAACACAATCAAAGCACACCGCCACCCGATACGACGACCAGTGGCGGCAGGAAGCGGCAGCCACCACCTCACGGTGGTAGTTATGGTTTTCTTTTCATTATTCCAATTCTAATTACACTTTACAAAGCTGAATTTCAAATAAACACACATAACCACTAAAACACACACACACACATAATGGTGCATGGTGGTGGTAGTGGCTTTTCCATCTAACTAGACATCCACACAACACCCTCTCACTATAGCAAAGAACACACACACACCAAGACACACACACACATGGTGGCACAACAACAGATTATGGTGACAGCCGCCACCGTGAGGTGGTGGCAGCGGTTCTCTTGATTTCAAGTGAGGCATCCACACGCAAACATGATCTGAAACATGTTCCCATTCATGAAATAACCCACACAGTGCCCCCTGTCGGAATACAAGCCTTGAACTCGTCACTGTGCTCCGGTAAAAACGAAAACACCACGAGCTCATCAACCTCCGAGGCGGCAGGCAGTGGATGCCGATTTCTTGTTGCAGAGAGGAAACAGGAGAAAAAAGAAAACCGGAACAGCGCCGACAGCTGCCTTACGCGACTATGAACGGTGGCAGAATAAGTAAAAGGAGAGTGATAACTCAGAGCAGTAACAACGGTCGCAATATCGATCTTATTCGTCGTCATATCCTCAAGAGGCCGTCGGAACACGAGTATGAAGGGGGTGGCGGTTCACGTCTTCAACAACAACTTAGCAACACCGGTGGTAGAGGCATAAGGCTGGCAACGGCGGAGGAAGTAAGAGGGTTGAAGATGGCGGCTGGGTAAACTCCGAATGGATGGTGATGGCTAAAGAGAAGACGAGTTAGGGTTAGGGTATGGGAGTTGTTACCTTAAAATGGGAGGGAAGATCAACGGGTTCAAGTCCCGTGCTCTACATCAAACTTTCATTTTTTTAACAAGTTTAGTCCCTCCCCCACCAAGCCTTTCCAACTTGATACCAATATTTATCCTTTCTACCCTGGCTTTGGAATTATTCTTCAAATTAAATCCGATAATTACCATTTAAACCCTCAGCATTAAAATCATTTACACCTTAGGTACAAAATTTACCAAACAACGCTAAATATCTTAATTATGACATAATCAGCCCTTCCACCTTATTTCCTTTTAAATTAATTCCAAATAATTACCACAAAGCCCTTATCTTCATAAATATTTACAAACTGAGTTCGGAACTCACACTTTTAATCCACTGACTTCTAAAACTGTGACAATTAGATCTTCGAGACCATCCGTTGATATATAATTATTTATTTTAGGGTTACCATTTGTTCGTTAGTTAATTTATTTATCTAATAAATAAACAGGGTGTTACATATGTAATCATAAATAATTATGTTTGCAACTTATTTTAATTTAATAATGAAACCTATGTAATCATAAATAATTATGTTTGCAATCTATTTTAATTTAGTAATGAAGCATATATAATCGAAAATAATTATGTTTGTAATCTATTTGAAGGATGTGGATTTGACTACACTTAGACAACTATTTGAGAGAGTTTTCCTCAACAAATAACTAGAAAAAATGAGTGTTCCAAAAAGAAATGGTTTTTATAGCCTCACAATCGCAGATGGCCACTCACGTTCACAGGTGGACAATTTCCATCTACGAATGTACAACACTCGATGCACGTCCACAATTTACAAGCTTGTACATTTGCAGGTATGGAAGGAAAATCGTAGATAACCCTAATCCATCTGTGATTTTAGTGGCTAAAATTGTAATTTTATTTTTAATTATTATTTTCTGCAAAGTGATTAGCAAAAGTGACTATTTTTGTAATTTTCTCATATAAATTTACGAGTATGATTATTTGAGGATCTGTGAAAAATATATTGTTGAGATGTTAGCTTCTATGCTCATGTGGAATTAAATTAATGTATAATTAATTTTTTAACCTAATTTTTTTCCTACCCAACCCACCCAAAAGATTAAATACCCAACCCACCCAAAAGATTAAATACAAGATCGTCCTTCACTTTTATATGTATCTTAATCCAAAAAATATCATGTTGATTAATTGAATTTTAGTTTAGTGATTGATTTATACCTTAACCATAATATTTTGGACTTCTAGTATCGTAAGTCCGTAACTGCTTTGATTGGAATAATGACCTAACAATTTAGAATGTATTTTGTGATTGTTTTGTTTATCAACAATTTAGAATGTATTTTGTAGATGTAAATTAAAGTATAACTATATCTGATCGTAAAAAAATTGTTTTTTAGTATTTATAATTACACACTACTACTACACTTTTTATATATAATTAAACTTAATCCTAATGTAAATTATACCATGTCTATTTTATACAGACAATTTTTTCATATATCTAGTTACTAGATGTAAAATCCGTATAATATACGAGTTGATTAAGAAAAAGATTAAATATCAAAATATAAACAATTAAGTATTTTTTTAAAATAAGGAATGAAGAAAATTATTAATTGTATTTATTATATTTAATACTTTACATTTATATATATATATATATATATATATATATATATATATATATATATATATATATATATGTGGTTTTTAAATTTTAAAATTAAAAAAAAATCCAAAAATTAATATGTAGATATTATTTATTTTAAAATACCATAAAATAACAAATATCAAAAACTCATCAAAATTTGATATAGAACAAACTAGATATTGTTTTATTATATAGTTGATCTTTTAAGAAATAAGAAATACATGTAGAAGAATATAATTATTATTTTTATGAACGGTAGTCGGTAGAAGAAAATAGACAAAACGAGGTAGTTTTGATTAAAACATATTAAAATCACATCCGTCCCCAATCTGAATCTCATTGCTCTCAAAATCGCATCTGCACTCTCTAGTTTTGATTTGGGTTGCAGGCATCTGCATCTCTCAAAATCGCATCGGACCTTGAGTATTGATTCGGGTTCTTGGCGGTTGGTTTAGACAAACTCCGACTTCGTTCTCTCACAATCGCATCTGTGGTGAGTTGGTTCTTCGCATCTGGTTTATATTTCATTTCCTTCTATCAACCTGATTCATCTTCTCCCGTCCGTACTTACTGTTCGTACTTCCTGTATTTGTAATTGAATGTCAATTTCGCCACATAAATAACAACATGACATTTGCGTTTATTCAATACGTCGAATTTGGGCTATTTGATTATCCAGGGCCTATACTCTGTAATTTTATGAAGGTTATATTCTGTCCCCTGCTGCGATTGCATTCGATGCAACATTCATATGATTTTTTGTAATTACTATGTTTGAATTTGTTCCTTTGATTATCAGAGCAGTCTATTCTGTTTTAGTATTGCGAATCTTGGGTATGATTTATGAAGGTAGTCTCCCTTAATCCCTTTGCTGGTGGTAATTGTGACATAAGCAAGGAAGTAAACTGTTAACATGTAGCAATCAAGCAAAAATTTTGCAATTTATTGGTATAGACGTCTGTATAATGGGAATCAATGACATGAATTCTGAAGCAATCAATCAAGTGAAATTTGTGCATCTCCTGAGATGGTTTATCCATGTACACTAGCTGTTTGGACATATTCTAGCAATATCTGAAGTCTTAGTACACATTATTCGTTATGCTTGCAGAGATCTTAGGAGCCAAGTGATAAAGCTGATCTTAACAAGACAAAGATCAATACAATGGCAGACTATCACTTTGTCTACAAAGATGTTGAAGGAGCATCAACTCAATGGGATGATATTCAAAGAAAACTCGGGAACTTACCTCCCAAACCCCCTGCCTTCAAACCTGATCCTTTCACTCCTGCAGAAGATGAAGATTCCAAACCTAAAACCAAATCTTGGATCGATAACAAGACAGAAGAAGAACTTGAAGATTTAGAAGATGATCTTGATGACAATCGTTTCCTCGAAGAATACAGGTGCTTTCAATTCCCACAATCCTAATCTCATTTCATGGGGACATTAAACTTCCATGTGAGATTCTCATGGTTTCATATTCCTTTCTGTTTTTGAAGGAGAAAGAGGTTAGCAGAGATGAAGCAAACAGTGAAAGTTGCAAAGTTTGGGTCAGTCATTCCCATTTCAGGATCCGATTTTGTGCGTGAGGTATCACAAGCTCCATCTGATGTGTGGGTGGTTGTTATTCTCTACAAAGATGGGTAATCACTAATTAACTACTATCCTTTTTGTTATTGTCTAGCAATTGATTTTGATTATATGGTTGTTAATGGGAAGTTATGATTGAATAGGTACCCAGAGTGTGGAGTTCTAATGCAGTGTGTGGAAGAACTGGCAACAATGTATTCAGCTACCAAATTTGTCAAGATTATATCAACTGATTGCATTCCTAATTATCCGGATTGTAATCTTCCCACTGTGCTGGTGTACAATAATGGTGCAGTGAAGGCAAATTATGTTGGGTTGCATACTTTTGGTAGGAGATGCACTCCAGAAGGTGTTGCTATGATTTTGTGCCAATCAGATCCTGTTCTTAATGATGGGCTCAATGGTGAAGCTTCTAGAGAAGCTGTTCTTGAAGGAGTGAGGAAAAGGTTTATAGAGAAAGTGGTTACACTCCATGAAAATGATGATGATGGGTCTTCAAGTGATTAACATCATGTTGTTTTCTTTATATTTTATGTTAAAGTATAATAGGTTTTGTTTAGTAACATGATCTGAGATTTTATCCCCTTTTAGATCTGTTTGTTTGTTTGGTTGGTTTTCTTTTGCTTTGTCTATGTTGTTCTGCAACTGCTCTTTGATTTTCTTTTAATGAATTTGATATATTTGATTGATGGTAGCAAAATTTAGTTAATTAAAAGATCAAGCATGTTGAGTTTGTGTTATACCTCATATATGGATTAGATATGCAATAAAATGGATAATAAACTAGTCAATGTCAAATAAAGAAATTCAAATGGGTCAATGTCTGGATAAGGGATTTTAGGTCATTTTACATGTTATGTCGGTTTGATAGAGTATAAGTAGGGGTTAGTGCCTGTTAGGTATCTTTGGAACAGAATTAGTTGAGGGAGAGATTACTTGGGAGAGACTTGACCTCTCGAAAGCCAAGAACCCTTTGCATTTTTTATTTATTTTAGTCTATATTTCTATAATTAAACCCTAGTCTACATCAGTTTGGTGTTAAAAGCTAGTGTTGAGGGTCAAAATGTATAGTTGATTTTATGGTATAGCTTTGTTAGGATAACATAGAAAAGTGCCTAAAGCCCTAAATGTTAAGCTACTGTGAGATTGCATAACATTGGTAAGTATATTGTTGCTTTAGAAGTTTTATATGAACCAAAAATGGTGGCTAAATAAATGTAATGGAAGCATGTTTGGTAGTATATACATATTTATGGTTTCAATAACATGTTTATACTTGGAAAATTAAATTGTTTTCTACTTACTCCTACTTCATCCTCCTACCAATTCAATGATCATCATGTGTAAAGCACTAATTCTATTTTCTCATCTCATCCTTTGATTTTGACACTTTTGATGATCTTGTCAGTAGGAGGATAAATAGAAACATTTAATAGGAAGATATTTAACCTCTCTTATACTTTATACATCTTTTGGTAAAGCATTAGGATAACATTTGGTAGGTAAAAGTAAAAACTAAAAATTGATAAAAACTTGAGATAAAGTTGCTTGGGTTTGCAGAATGTTTCAAGCTCAATACATGTATCAAACATTAGTTTTTAAATAATCTAATTCATTTATTTTGTACTTCCTACCTATGAAATTTATGCCCCTAATGGTTTTCTTGTAGTATACCATAAATCAACTAAGATTGTTTATTAATCGATTTTTTTATCTTTCACAACTGTTATAAAAAAACAAAAACATAAAATTATCTTTCATGTTTGATGTTTAAGCTTTTTCCCCTTATATTATACTTAATGATAGCCTTAGACAAACAAGACCCAACATTTAGTACTTAAGCCCACAATGTCGTGTAATTGGAGGCTTGCACCCTCGAGATCTTGGACCATTCCCAAAAAAACCCAATAGCGAATCGGTTTACAATGAGACCTCACCGAAAAATAAAATGGACCGTTCCGAGATTGGTAAAAAAAAATACTAGATTGGTCTAAGATCAGCCGACACCTATCGTAGACTGATCTCAAAAAGACCGGAAGCCAAAGTTTATGTATATATCAATTTTTTTTGTTAATTGCACATTTTTTACCCATACATAACCCAACTTTTTTCCTTATTTTTCTTTTATTAAACTTTAGTATATCATATTTAGTAAATCTTAATATATCATTTTATTGTTAATAACATACTTGTTAAAAGAAAAACTTGAAACCGAAATATCAAATATGAAGATATCAAACCGAACTGAAAAAACTTTGAAACTGAATTGAAAAATGCACATGCAAAGACCGTGAGGCCGGATCGACAAAGACTTAGACCGGTCATAAAATAGTTAATCGAAAAAAGTGTGGTCTGAAAAAAGATCAGACCATTCTAAGACTTATCTCAAAGGTCCGTTTATTCTCTCTGGTCTCATAAAAAATATTTCCTCTACATTCTTTCATGGGTTTGTGATAACTTTGCAAAAAATATAATGCATTAGCATATGATCCCTTTCCACACACTCGAGAATTTTGAGCCACCTATCAAAGCATATTTGTTGGGAGATATTATTGGGAGATATTATTGGATGTGAATAGGTGCTTTAGCTTGCCAAGAATATTGACACCAATGACAAGTTTAGGTGACAAAGTATGAGAAGTATTGAAACGACCATCGTGCTCAATATCAAACAAGTTATCTAATTTCAAAAATAAATGTTGGATGGAACAACATTCCAGACTGTTATATTCATTCCAAACTGGGATGGTCTTCACATTCCGGACCGCTCTTTGTATTTCGAAATACGATAGTTCATTTCAAATGACTAAAAGGACGATTAAACCCAATGAACAACGCAATATATCAGTTTTCTAAGTTGGTAGAGGGTAACTAATGATAAATAGTAGTTTCTAACGAACCAAAAGACTTTTAGCCTAGTGGTATCAAGTGTTACCTTTCTCATTGAGGTCGATTGTTCAAATTTTGGTTGGACATAAGTGAAATTAGAGGTAGTTTAGAAGTATATTAGATCTGTTGTTCCAAATAACGTAGTTTTCTAAGGTTTTAATACAAATTAACACTATATTCTGATCATGTTATTCACATCTTGGACATGTTCTTTGAGTTTCAGAATATGTTTGTTGGTTAATAATCCATAAAAACACACAAACAGGTAAATGAAGCAAAAACTAACCCGCAAAATCTCAACATCGTTAGATCTCATGTTACTGTTTACTTTACCAAATAAGTGTGGAATCTCGATGTACATTCCAAATTTCCATTAAGTGGATGTCCACCGACTCATAAACAAGTTTCAACATGAATGGGGACTACGAAACAACCCTTTATAGACTCTTCGTCGTTTTCCAAAAGAACAAAAAAATCGAGGTTACTTTTTTTTGAAAGTGACTAACATTAATCCAAAAGTATTTATACAAAATTAGATGGGTGTATGTAGATTGCTTTTGAAGGTGTTTATGACTTATTATTTTTCAAACGTAAATAATATTTAAAAGGTGTTTGAGAATACATAAATGTCTTTGAAAATGTTTATGACACATTCATATAAAATATTTATAAACTAATTTAAGCATTAAAAAGAAAAGTTTATCAATCTATATCTTTTAATCCAAATATTTTTTTTAGAAACCTTTTTTTTTTTTTTGATAATGACTTGATAGGGTAAGATATTTTTTGAAATGTACACATTTAGTCCTTATTCTTTTTTTCTTGTAAAATGAACCCTTATATTTTATTAATATGTACACATTAGGTCATTTTCACCGGATTCTACAGATTTTGCTGACGTGGAAGGGTTTATTTAGAAAAAAAAAATAATAATAAGAATAAGGACTAAATGTGTACATTTCAAAAAGTATCTTACCATATCAAGTCATTTTCTCTTTCTTTTATTTTGTTGAAATGAAATACCCATGTGGCATCCACATATCCACAACAAGATTTTTCCAACTTTTATTCATCATGAAAAAGAGGTATAACCCTGATCTCCGACAACTCCTTTGTGTATTCCTACACATCACTGGTAGCAAGGATGAATGATGGCAAAAACAACAAGGTCGAAGGGGGAGACAGGAGGAAGTAGAGACGGTAGTTGGCTGCGAGGAGCTGCTCTGGTAGCTCCTCGTCGATTATTTCTTCTTTTTCTGGCAACATATCTCAAAGATGAAGGCAAAGAGAGACAGATCGGAGAAACACAATAGGTAAAGGGTGTTTGGTTGTTGTTGTTCGATCGGAAGGAAGAGAGACGAGAAAGAGAAGGGTTGCCGCCCTTTTCTTGTTGTTGGAGGATCACCCACCTCCGCTGACTAAGCTAATTAATTGATATTTAGTGTCACGTGTGCTTCCACATCAGCAAAACCTGAAGAATCCGGTGAAAAGGACCTAATGTCATAATGTGTACATATTAATAAAGTATAAGGGTTTATTTTAAAAAAAAAAGAATTAGGACTAAATGTATACATTTCAAAAAGTATCTTACCCTATCAAGTCATTTTCCTTAAAAGAAAATTCGTATATGACCACTATACTGGGTATAATCGGTCACAAAGATTGCATTGTTACAAAAAATAAAGTATAAGAGTTTATTTTACAAAAAAAAATAATAATAATAGGAACTAAACGTGTAAATTTCAAAAATATCTTACCCTATAAAATCATTATTATTTTTTATTTTTTTCAAAACCTAAGCAATTTGATAAAAAAAAAAAAAAAACGATTATGGAGTTAAAATAAGCAAAATCCCAAATACCCAACCATGTGACGGTTTCAAACGCACGTCGGAGGTTATCTCCCTCAACAACCACATTTTTCTCTTCCCGTACGATGTTATTAGCTGGTTTCGGAAGCGGTCCCAAACTCCCAAACACTTTTTTCAAACCCTTGTCAGTCGGCGCCTCGGCGGCATCTACACCCTTCTTTTATTTCTCATAACAACAAAAATCCTTTCCAAAAATATCATTCATTCAGTTTACCTAATTTCTCCTCCGTATCCCTCAAATCCCTAAAAATTTCCCTCCAATTTATTCGTTTATGGAGAAACTTCACGCTCCGCCGCTTATTTGTCTTCTTTAATCAGGTTACTATTCCTTGTCATATATTCAGCATTCCAGTATGCAATTCTTTTTACTGTTTTTGTTATTCTGTTTTTAATTTATTCGGTTTACCTTGCCCGGAAAATCTCATATGCTTTTGATTCCTTTGCTAAAAACTATCCAACGCTATAGTTTGTACTTTGTACGGACATTTACTGAAGCCTTTATCCTAGTTATCCGTTTGTTCTACTTTGGTCTCCTTGACTGATCTTAGTTGTTATGCATTTAACTTAACTGTTTTGTTCTACTTTAGCTTCAGATAATTTACATGACCTGATAAATAATGGATCTAAATTGGGTAGCCGAATACCATAACTCGAGCGATTAATACTTCTTTCTGTTCTGTTTCAGCCATAATTCCTTTGTCCACATTGCAGTTGTTAGGTATTTTGTTACTCGTTTGTAATTTATGATGCTACCATTACACAAGATCAATCTTGATTCTTGTGTTATACATTTGACTTATAGACTAATAGTCACACTTTCATTAAACAATGTGCCTTGTCAACTGTTACAATTTTCATGCACCAGTTACTAGTATATAACTATATATAAAAGTATTGGTAATTGGATAACATAATTACAAACACCCAAGAAAAATTTCATCTACCAGTTAGTAATTGTTGCAAGATTTCTTTCATTCTCTGTCTCCACACACCAATGCCCATATATTTATGATTTATCACCATCTATATAAGCAAGTTCCTTTCCTTTTTTACCATGAGAATTAGTGAAAGCTAGCGATTGCTATTGCATTCAGAAGTGTTCTTTTGTTAATTTTCGTGTTGGAATTTTTGTTGTGAAGGTTGTCTTTAAGAGGTGTTGTCATTGGAGGTAGTACTACATTTGTTAGACACAATGGGTAGCGCGTTTAATCCACAAATTTTGGTGGAGAAGCTGACTAAGCTCAACAATTCACAGCAAAGCATTGAGAGTATCCTACTGAAATATGTTTGTTTAACTTTCAAAACTATTAACAATTAATTACCTTTTTTTTATCCCTAACAATATATATAGCTCTGTCACATTGGTGTATATTTCATATGAACAAGGCAAAACAAGTTGTGGAAACATGGGCAAGACAATTCCATAGCTCTCCACGTGATCAACGCCTGGCTTTTCTATATCTTGCAAATGATATTTTACAAAACAGCAGGCGAAAAGGCTCTGAATTTGTTGGTGAATTCTGGAAGGTTCTTCCAGATGCACTCCGTGATGTCATCGACAATGGGGATGAATTTGGGAGAAATTCTGCTTTACGCCTCGTATGCTTCTTCTCTTCTCCCCATTCTCCATGCTTCTAATCAAGAAAATTATATTATAATTCTTTTTTTAATTTTTCAGGTCACTATTTTGGATGAAAGAAAGGTTTTTGGTTCACGAGGGCAAGTTCTTAAGGAAGAGCTTGTCAAAAGGCATATGGAAACTAGTAATAAGAATGGGAAGCATTCAGGGTTAAAATTGGTACTTTATTTAATTATCTTTTACATGTTCCTGTATTGAATTGTGTTAATGTTTGCTATCTCTTACTTGTTACTATATTTTTTAATCAGAAACAGCCAGCTGGCAATGCAGTGGACAAGATAGTTTCAGGGTATCAAGTTATATATGATAGTCAGGTCAATGAAGATTCACTCTTCAGCAAATGCAAAAATGCCATTACTTGTGTTGAAAAAGTGGAAAAGGAAATTGGTGGGGATATTAGATCCGGTATTTTTTTTTTCATCTCTGATTTTCATCTTATATAGTAGTATATTTCTGAAATATTTACCCTTTTTCTTTTTTCTTTTCAAAGTAAATGGGACAGGTGTCACAGATGAACTTAAAGGACAGCATGCTACATTGAGGGATTGTATTGAGCAACTTACTGCTATTGAATCATCAAGAACAAATCTTGTGTCTTATTTGAGGGAAGCTCTTCAAGATCAGGTTTGTTGGTATCCTAATAAAATTGCTGTTACATATTCACATTTTTTTCTTCATATAAATGAAACCTTCCATGGTTTTATTATCAGGAAATGAAGCTGGACAAAGTCCGAAGTCAGCTTCAGGTAGGTTACATCAGTATATTACTATTTTCACTAATTTGGGTACTGAAGTATTATTTAAAAAAAAAAAAAAAAGAGCTACTTGCTAACAAAAATGATTGTTCTTGTGTTTTCAGGCTGCACATACACAAGCAGAAAAGGCTGATAATTATTGTAGGCAATTGCTCAACCCTAATGGCAGACAACCGCCACCTGTTCCGGTGACCGGAGAACAGTCTGCTCCGGTGATGTACACACAACAACCACCTTTCACCGACCAATCTGAGGACACCAAATCTGCCGCCGCTGCAGTGGCGGCAAAGCTCACGGCATCAACATCATCCGCCGAGATGCTGACTTACGTCCTCTCGTCCCTGGCTTCCGAGGGCGTTATTGGAAATTCACCCTCAAATGACTACCCTTTGCAGAAGAGAACCAAGATAAATAACGGCGAACCACCAGCTCCGCCCTTTCAGTATCCAGACCAACAACCGCCTCCACCATCATCTCCGCCACCTCCACCGCCAATGCCGCCAATGCAGCCGTATCCAGCTCCGGTGTACATGGTGTCGGTTGGGACAGTAACATATGGCCATAGCATGAACCAACCGCCACCACCACAACCGATGGCTGGGCCGCCAGTGAATGGTGTTTCTTTGTATACGCCGGGAATTGTTCCAGATGGTTACCAGAATTATCAAATGGAAGGTGGTTTTTATAGCCAACAATCAGCCATGTCAATGGCACCTATGTCTAGGCAGTAGAGCTATAAGTTTGTAGATGAAATTGAGAGTTTTTTGCACATTATTTAGAGATGTCGTTAATTTTTAATTTAACTATGAGAGTTGAATTTATTTTAATTGATAGTTGAATCGGTTGTATTTGAGTGTTTGTGTATGGAGTTTTTGTTTTTTTAGTTTTTATTAAATGTATGAAGCTAGATTTGCTGTGATTCTTGTTAACTTGTTGTTGGAACGCCGAGAAGTCAACGGGGCCTTCTAGAACGATGGCCAGAAACGCTGATTCATGTTGAAAATTAATTGTTTGTACTAAATAAAATTACAAATTGCTGGTATGAAAAGAATACGTTTCAAGTCCATTTTTATTTTGATGTAGCACATTCAAATTGTAAAGATACATCATATCACAATGTGATTTTCAAATTCTTTTTAAGTCAATATGACGTAATTATGTTAAAATTTTAATATATCACAAAAAATCAAGGATAGATTATCGCATTTACCTTGATAGATATGATCGTTCTATTAAATTACATTACATTAACTATGTTTAGTTACAATAAAAATAATCTTTGTTTTTTTAGTTGAAATATAATATTCTATTTTGTGTATGTGTATCGCTGCTATATTTTATAATTTGTTTATTAATGATTGAATTAAATAATAATATTTAATTTTTGTAGCCACTATAAATATTATTTTTACATAATGTTATAAATATACCAATATACATCAAATATTATATATATATTTTTGACAATTGTATAATTAAATAACTATTTATCTTATTATATAAATAGATTTGTTGTCGACCTGAATTTCCACGAATTATAACCTAGTAAATATCATATCTTAAAATAAAAATTAACCATGAGTTTATATATATATATATATATATATATATATATATATATATATATATATATATATATATATATATATATATATATATGAGACAACTTATGATATCAATACCAATTAAAAGGATGAAAACAGTCACGGTTGATTATGTGAGTGATCCATAATTGCTCTCCATTAGGGACTTAGTAATTTACTAAAAAAAATTAAAATTCGTTAAAATGATCTAGTCAGGTAGGATCAATAAAAGCAATTTCTGGTACGATACAACAGAAAAACCTCCAAATAATATACGTACCCTAAAAAAAGAAATGACTCGCTACAATTACTATTTTATAAATTCAACAAAATCATGTAATATTTACCACCTCCTAACTCCAGTTAGCCATATTTGACTCGTCTGTTTCGACTTAGGATCATTCAGCCTTAGAGCATTTCCATCAGTGCAAGGGATACCATCTTGCAAATGAATGCCAACTCGCCATAACTTTATCAATTTTTGAAAAGAGAAATTAATTGGAAAAAGAAATCAATTTTTGAAAAGAGAAATTAATTGGAAATAAAGTTTTTTTGATTAAAATATTGGTACATTTAATGTTTGCAAGTCTTGCAAACTATAAACGACAAAATACACATGACATTTGATTTTTGTGATGTGGCATTGCAAATTAGTTTTGCAATAACCGTTGTGGAAGGTCTTAGCACGTAAGAACAAGTTTCTCAAATGGAAATTTCTGGCCAAGAAAATTGTTGATGTAGATTTGTTATTTGCATATGCTTTAAACTTACAATGGATTCCGGCAAGCAAACCACTAATTTCAGGCGAGCAAAATGTAAAATACTAATTTCAGACAGAAAAATGTAATATTTATGATAAGCAAGCCACTTAAGATCGTCACATGCTATAAAAAGTGGGTTTATTTGTTTTATATTTTTCTTTTTTTTCATCAAAGAATGTGGGCCCAACCTCCAAATGAAATTCCCTTTTAGGCTTTTACCATGTTTTGTATTTTGGTAACAATAATACCTTTTCAAACCACGCCCTTTTGGTAATTGGTACAAAAATACGCCACACCACCGAAATCTCACTTTCCCACCGCTCATTTCTTTTATATACATTTTGTAAACTATTATTTATATAAATATTTATAATTAATTAAATAATCAAATGCAATAAAATGATTTTACAGAAAAAAAATCATAGGTTGTATGAGTTTATAATTTAAATATTTGGCATATTCTAATTATACAATAAATACTTTTGTATAAACATATGAAATAAGAATAAAAGCCTTTAAAAGATAATGTTAAGAAAGAAACAAATTTGAAATAATAGTTTTCTCATATTAAATTTTGTAGTTAAACTAATAATTTAATGCTTAAACCAAAAATAAGATATACTTTTTTAATTATCAATAATAATGTCGTAATAAATATAAATACTTATTAATAAAATTAAAAGAAAGTGGGTAGATGATGTTAAATTTGGTTTTATAAAAAAACAAATCACCGTATTCAAACTGACTTGCTGACCAGACCAGTACAATAAAAAGCACAGCGAAAGTTGAAAGGAAAAGAAATGGGGTTTCGCATTCATTAGCAGAGCGCCTCGAGATCGGGTCTAGGGTTCCTCATCTTCTTCAATTTCCACCTCCCTTCATAGTCCATACTTCATACCATTTACTCATCTCCCGCAATTCACAGTTCACATACAGCTGCTGATCGATTCTTTCACTACAATTCAAAGGTGATTTTAAACCAATGATCCACGGCTTTAGTTTTCACCATCTTCTCTTGATTCCCGGTTGTTGATATTAATAATTGTTGTGGTATGACTTTGTGCAGGTTTTTGATAATATATATTAGTGATTTGTGGAAAAGGTGTGATCCTAGGGCTTCATATAAGGTGTGATATCGTAGGCTGTTCCAAATGCCGGAGGAAGATGTTTTAGAGCTCAAGTTTCGGTTGCTTGATGGATCGGATATTGGTCCATTTCGATACTCTCCAGCTTCCACAGTTGCCATGCTCAAGGAGAGAATTGTTGCCGAATGGCCCAAAGGTTAGGCAGATTTCGGTCTCTTTTGTCTGTACATGCTTTTTTTTTTTTCTGCTCTATAGATTATGCCTTTCGATTTTGAGATTCATGTATTTTGTAGATTAGTTAGTGTGACTCCATGACGACTGTGAATTGCCTTTATAAATTCATGTCAATAGCTGTTCTTCAGTCTTTATGTTTTAAGCTAAATGATCTCTGGTTTAAGGAAAAGATGAAAGATGTATGATCCACACAAAGAAAAGAATGATGAAACATGGAGTACTGTAATCCAACTGTGATGGAGTTTTGAGTTTGTGGTTTTTGCAATTTCCGACCAGATAAATGAAATCCTAGAGAGCTTGAGCTTATATCCCAGTGACATAGCTGGTTAAAGATTAGACAAAGGGCAAAGGGAAAACTCTTAGTTTTTGCCTTTCTGGGCATTTCAGATCTCCTTCAACCTTTTCTCCATATGTTATACTCATGGCCTATGAGAAACACGTTAGATCAAAATGAATGAATGGTTGATGATAAATTGCATCTTTTTTTGACGTATGTTTGTTGAATCATATCTTTCTGAAGATTATGTTTGTTGAATGCGTCCAGATAAGAAAGGCGGACCCAAATCAGCAAATGACATAAAATTAATAAATGCGGGGAAAATTTTGGAAAACAACAAAACTGTTGGGCAGTGCAGAACACCTTTTGGGGAGCTTCCAAAAGGGGTAATTACAATGCATGCTGTTGTACAGATGTCTTTAACCAAAGCAAAAACAGGTGACTCCTTCTCTTTCCTCATCAATATGTTAACAAATAAGTGATTCTGGTAGAGTGTATTTTCTGAAATGAATAGGCTTTTATGATTCTGAACAGAAAAAAAGATGGATGAGACTCCAAAGACAAACGTCTGCGCGTGTACCATATTGTAAGAAGCTATTGAGTTTGTTTGTTGGTTGAGATTTACATGGTGGGGGCCATTGTTTGGGGCTCTGTGGAATCAATCGGGTGGTCTGGTCTGGGGAAAATAATGCCATACCATATAATGGAAAGTCTGGTTGGTGTAAACATATAAAATCCTTTATTGTTGTTATCATGTGTAGTGAGTGTGTGTGTTTTATGTAAAATTTGTTGCTTTAATTTGCTGTACATTTGTGGCTTCGGCTTCAGTGAATACAAGTAATCCTCATTGGCTTCTTTTCCTCTATTAAATTCTACATTGCAACAATATATACTGTATTTGTTGTCTATTAAAAAGATATTTAGTTGTGGAATTGACATTCTGTTAATGTATGTTTTGGAATTGCTTTTTACTCAAAACTTGAAACAGTAAAATCCCAATTGCGCTCACGTTTTTAGCTAACATACAAATTTCTAAAACACTAGCATTGCTGCTTAAAATCATGGCTCTACCCACACTTGCTTAGGCAATGAATTCCCTCCTCCAGATAATCTTGCCTACTAATCCAAAATTCAGGTGCATCCTGCAAAAATCCACATATATATATAATTTTTTTACACTTGAGTACTTATCTAATCTAATCAATCAAAATTCAGGCAAATCCATAATGAATGAAAAAGCGAGCACCTTCATGATTCCAGCAAGTACTGCACCCCCAAGGTACACCATATGCTTCCTGCGTGGTGGATCTTCAATACGCAGACGCAATTTCTGATATTACAAAAATAATTAATTAATCAATCAATCAATCACTCACACAAATAATGTGTATTATATTATATTATATGATCCAACAATAAATAGTACCTTCAATCCGACTTTATTGCCCTTCAACACAACTTCAAGATAACGATCCAAGATTTCTTTCTCTAGTCTGTATATATATAATATAACTAGTAATCATGAATTCTAAAGAAAATGCAAAATATGTTGACCAATTGGTCAAACCACACCAAGGATGATGATGATGATGTATTACCGACTAGGTAATCCTGGATACATTGTGCTCCCTCCACTCAAAACTATATGCTGGTAAAGCTGCAAAACATACAATCACACATAATTTCGCCATCTGTTCAAACTATATAATAATAATAATAATAATAATAATAATAATAATAATAATACTGATAGGTGGTTTAAAATTGTTACCATCATACGGTTGTCAATATCCATTTCCTGAATACAGTGGAATACCATGTCAGCAATTCCATCACCTTCAACATCTATGAGTTCCTGTAAGAACCAGCTTAACATTAACATTTATACAAATGCAATTATTAATTAATTCAGAAACTAAACACAAAAATATACCGGAGTAAAAAGAGCTTCTGGGGCCTGAAAGCGTTCAGTACCAACTTTGATAACCCTTCCATCTGGCAGCTGATGCATTTTATAACATTCTCAACAACAATTAACGACCTTACTTCCTTTATATTATAAACTATGGTAACTTACAGTATAATTCTTAACAAGAATGGTGGTCTCAAGTCCCAGTTGATACTCCCTTTTGTAATCATAACTGCAACAAACCAAAACTTATCAAAAAAAAAAAAAAAAAAACGCATTGTAAGTTCAAATAAAATGTGGGTTCATGAATGTACCTAACATAGCAGAGCTTCTCTTTGATATCTCTAACAGTTTCAAAATCAGCACTCTTATTCATTGCATAACTTCATATGATAAATTAATTTTCAAGTCTCAGTACCACATGTAGTACAATCATAATAACTATTAGGGTATATGGCACAAAAAACACTCTTTTTACATAGAAAATCGATTTTGACATCGTGTTATTTTTCATGTCAATTTTGACACTGTATTTTCCAATTTGTTACAATTCTGACAATTTGACCGGTTAACCAGGTTATATACTGACGTGGCATGATGACGTGACATGCTGACATGATATACTGACGTGTCAAAATTGATTTTTTTCCACAAAAAACACTAAATTTTTACTTTTTTTCGATTTTGACACTAAGTTTAATTTTTTATTTCAATTTTGACACTATGTTTTTTTTTGTTCCAATCGAACATCATTTATCAAATTTTGTTCAATTTTGTCTATTTTCCATTTGAAACCGTATAAATATATTTTTTTATTACATTTTAAACCGTATAAACATATTTTTTCCGTTTAAAAACCACATTTTTATTTAAATACAAAATGTTTTTTTCTTACATTCAAAGCATTAGTTATATAATGAGAATCAAACTAACCATAAGCTTCTAATAAAATGTAAAAATTTGATGGGTTGCAAACTTGATATCTGAGTTTTGATAGATTACACGCCTCCAAACCTCCAAACACATTTTAAAGTTGCATATTTAATATAAAATACAATTTTTATATAACTAATACATATTTATATATAAAAATATGGTTTGAGTGTAAAAAAATGTATTTATACAAAACTATGGTTTTTAAATGAAAAAAAAAACATATTTATACGGTTTAAATGTATTAAAAAATATTTATACGGTTTCAAATAGAAAATTGTCAACATTGAACAAAATTGGAAAAAATGATGTTCGATTTGGAACAAAAAAACATAGTGTAAAAGTTGAAAGAAAAAATTAAACTTAGTGTCAAAATCAAAAAAAAAAAAAATGAAAACTTAGTGTTTTTTGTGAGAAAAAAATCCAGTTTTGACATGTCATCATATAATGTCAGCATGCCACCTCATCAAAACTGACATGTCATCATGCCACGTCAGCATGTAACATGGTTAACCGGTCAAATGGTCAGAATTGTAACAAATTGGAAAACACAGTATCAAAATTGACACAAAAAATAACACGGTGTCAAAATCGAATTTCTGTGTAAAAATAGTGTTTTTTATGCCATTTACCCTAACTATTACTATAAAAATAGCACCTTCTAGAAACTACTCACCCTCTCCTAAGCAGTAAATCAACAAGATATGTTGTTATATGGCGTCCAGCAACATTCATTCGTTTAGTAAGATGAGGAAATGAGTAGCCATCTACAACAGGAACCTGAAGAAACATGATAATGTTAGAAATTAGGGTTACTATATGTTAGAGGCACTAAGTAGTAGTAAATATTAAATAGTAATAGACTAATAGTTATTCAACTGCTTACCACATGAGTGACACCATCACCAGAGTCGATGACTAGTCCAGTAAGTAAACCTGTTTTGACATCAAATCAAGATTAGGTAAATAAAATCAAAGTTAGTTCTTGAATTCTTTGCAAAGTTGTTATAACAGCTTGTATTTGGATGAAGACACCAGCAAAATTGAAGTCTTATAAACCTTTACCCTATAAGCACCTTGAGCATACAATGTTAAAACAGCTTGTATTTGGATGAAGACACCAGCAAAATTGTACTTCTCAAACATAGTCTCCACCTAAATCAAGGTTAATCCACAATCAAGTTTGCATACTGCAAATCGAAAATCATTTTTACGGGTATATTGTTTGCACATACCATCTTTTCCCTGTTTTTTGAAGGATTGAGAGGCGGATCTGTGAGCAAAATGTTACATTCTGATGGATCCACCTGCAAGAAGGAAATATGGAGGACTTTTTATAACAAGCAGCAGGTGCTATCTGTTAACTCATCAAGTTCTCAAACAACATATCAAAAGGCAGCAGCAGACACTCACCTTGAGCTCATTATAGAAGGCATGATCCCAAACATGACCCATATCATCCCACTTTTGCACAATGCCATTGTTGACAGGATAAGATATATCTAGTTGATGTCTCAAGTTCAAACAGGTTTCACCAACAACAATATCCTGTTATGAACCATGGATAAAGGAAGCATTGATGTTATTAATGATCACTTGATATGCTACAACGTACAAATAGATAAATACCAGTGAAACAAGGGCTAGCACTGATCAAATGAATCAAAGCACTTATATAATCATCAGACCTTTATACACAAGTGTTCATTGAGAAGAAAAAAAAGGAGTATATTCACCTTCAACTCTTGTTCCAGGAGTGTTTCTTCGTATCTCAACATCGGCCTACCCACCACACAAGGAAATACCGATGTCGGAAAATTCTCACCAGCAAAACCACACTTGACATACTGCATTTTAAATTCAGCAGTCATAAAATCACAAAAATTGACATTCCATCCATCTTTACTTGTTTCGAGACAAGATAGTGCATAAATTTAGTGATACAGTTGCAATTCATGTCAAAATTGTTTATCGAATCATTAAAAACCGGAAACATCTTGATGCTTGAAATGTTCCGGTCTGAATAAAAAGGTACCAAAAATATAAGAAAACAGATCAAGGACGCAATGTTTCAACAATTGACTTTGAAGATAAGCAGAGGATTCCAACGAATAGATCGAGATCACTAAAAAATGGTTAATTAACGAGACGATTAGCTTACCCCAGTGCCATTGTCGCAAACGATGACCTTCTTGCTGTCCATTTAACCTCACCTGAGATAAAATGATCAACGGAGACAGCAACGGCGATGACGATGGATCCCTTCTTTTGTCTGGATTAGGAATTAAGATGGAAAGCTTGAAGAGTTAAATCATCATTTGTGTTTGTTGCTAATCTGCTTTGCTTTACTTTGCGTATAAACTGAGGCTACGAGGTAAGTCGCTGCTGTAGAACGAAAACCCGCCCAACTCGCCAACCGGATCTACCACTTTATCCAACATTTGTTTAGAATTCTGGATCCAGTAATATTTAATACTAGACGAAATAACGTGTAGTGTAATGAAAATTAAAAATATAATTTATAGAATTAAATATAAGACAAAACTTCAAAAATGGTCCCTGTGGTTTCCAGAAATATTAAGTTTAGTCCCTAAGTTCAAAAAACCTCACAGATGGTCCCTGTGGTTTCAAAACTTTTAACAAATGGTCCCTCCGGCTCACTCCGTTAGCATTTCACCGTTAACTCATTTTTTAATAAAATATTGCAGGGGTAATTTCGTCATTTCAGTTGTAACCTCCTCTCTTTAAAAGAAATTGCATGTCCGATTTTTGGGCAAATCCTTTAGCTTCATCAGTCGATCATCTCTCCTCCTTTCCACTGTTGCTCGACAGTTGCACCCTTCACGACATCCAATCGCTTCTGATTCAAAGATGGTGACTTGCAGATGTGGGAATGAAGCAACGAAGATCACTTCATGGACGGATCGTAACCCTGGAAGGCAATTTTGGAACTGTAAAAGATGTGGTTTCATTCGATGGTCTGATCCCCCTATGTGTGCTAGGGCATTGGTGGTGATTCCAGGTTTGATAAGATCAAAGAATCGATTGGAGGAGAGGGTCGCCATTGTAACTGCACAATTGTGGAACTACCAGCTGATGTTGTTTTGTTCATGGGTGTTTTTTTTTGGTATTATTTTAATCTCTAAATATCTTCTGAAGGTTTGGATGGTAATGGAGTTTTGGTTTTTGGTTTGTAACCATTGCAGGTTTTTTTTTTTTTTTTAATCGGATAGGGGTTTTTTTGCTTTCAGTTTATGTAGGTGGTTTTGGAATTGGTGGTGTTGTATTTGGTTTATGTATCAGATTAATGTGTAATACAGTGGTAATGGTAATGGTAATGGAATGTAGTTTGTTATAGTTCATTGTTCAATTTCTTGAATGTTTTTGAAATGTAATTGTTAAGTGTATTGTAATTGCATCTTGAAGATGGTTTTCATTTGCAATTGAAATGTACATTGTTATTAATTGATATGTGAAGTGAGGGGTAGTACACAAAACATATTAATTCATCACCAAAAAGTGCATACACACCATTACATTCAAAGTTATAAAGTTCTTAACACAACCATGATCCAAAAAGTGCATACACACCATTACATGCAAAGTTTTCAAGTTCTTAACACATCTTCAAACAAGTACACATTACATAAGTTTCTAAATACCTACAACACCAACATCCTAATAACCACTAAAAAGTCAATTTTCAGCCTCCTCCAACTTCACCACTGCCTCCCTGCCCTTTACATGTTCTGGAATTGTGCCCTTTGTTATGACACTTTGAACAAGTGACTGCCAAATATTTCCTGCTCAATCTACCAGCTTGGCTGTTTGGCTCATCAACACCCCTTCTTCTCTTCTTCTTAGGCCTCCCAACCTACACATGTTGATATACTATAGTTAAAATTGAATTCATTCCATGTTCACATGTATACTATATATTTTGTGTACTTTAAATACAAACCTGTGTCTTATGTTTTGGTGGAAGTAAAGTGAATGGGCAGTCACTTTTAGGCCACATTGTACGTCCATTCAATGGATCAATTTTGTTGAAATACATGGCTTTCCATGTTGATAACCTATAGCAAGGATGGACCCATTCATCAACATGTGGGGCATTTTCACCATTTTCAATTTTGTCCCATATAGCACAAACAGCATGTCTACATGGGAAACCTGTAATCTCCCAAAACCTACAACTGCAACTGTGATCATTCAAATTTACCACATATTGGTCTTGCCATGTGCTTGCCACTTGGTACTTCCCTGCCCCATTGTATTTAGCCACATACTTTGATGCATCAGCCTTAATCTTTTCAAACAGTGTAGTTGCAGTAGGGGTTAGAAGTCCTTCACACTTATCTATTTCCTTTTGCACCACACATAACCTCTTCATGAGATACTCTCTAATATACTCTAAGCAAGTGATAATAGGTTTATCCCTACCTTCATCTAGCTTTGAATTGAATACCTCACAAAGGTTATTCAACAAACAATCAGTATGTGCCCTTCCTGAATAATATATATTAACAGAAGACAATTACACATATAGTAAACACACAAAAGGGAAGATTAACAATTCTCAATAAATTTCTAGAAACTTACCACTAAAGTGAGATTTAGCCCAAGTGTTTGCTGGGATCTTAGACACCCAAGCATGAGCCTCTGCATTGATCTTCTTCAACTCATCCATTGCTCTGTTAAAATGATTGACTGTTGTTGCTCTACCACACTCCCAAAGCTGGTCACTTAAGTCTTTTCCTTTCCATTGCTTCTTCATGTTTTCCTGGATATGCCTCAAACAGAACCTGTGTTCTGCACTAGGGAATACTTTCTCCATTGCTGGTATTATTCCCTAAACAAAAGTCAATGTAATCAACATTAGTTAACCAAATGTATTTAGTAAAGGTAATAAAAAAGTTAGGTGGTACACACCTTTTGTCTATCTGAAATGAAGGTAAAGTTTGAATTTGGTCCCAGATCCAGATCTTCTCCTAACAGTTCCAAGAACCAGGTCCAGCTACTTGTTGATTCTGTCTCTACCACTGCATATGCTACAGGGTATATGCCATTGTTTGAGTCCAACCCTACAGCAGTTAACACTTGCCCAGGGTAAGGGCCCTTCATGAAAGTACCATCCAGACCTAGAAAATCTCTTAATCCAGATTTGAATCCTAACTTCAATGCACCTAAACAGACATATATTCTTCTAAAAGTTCTTGTGGTAACAGACAGGGAGGTTTCTGGATACACATCAATCCTAACTGTTGTACCAGGATTAGTGTTGAGTAGCTCCAACACATAATCCCTCAAAAATCCATACTGTACTTGGTAGTCCCCACTAATGATACGCTCAGCCATTGACTTTGCCCTAGCGACCTTTTGCAATGACATTCCTACCTCCATTTCTTGCACAACTCTTCGTGTAAAGCTTTCACTGGAATTTTAGGGTTACTCTGTATTTGTTGAACAATTAAGTTTGCTACGTATCTGGAAGTGCAAGCTTTAACCGCCCTTGTTTGCAAACATTTATGCTCATCCTGTACCGTTTTCACCAACCAATCCTGATTTTCATTAGCCCTCGATATTTGGACTGCCCATGGACATGTACCTTTATTGGCAATTACATCTTTACCCTTGCACTTTGCCCTACTTCTGGTTGAGGGCCCACCACTATCAACTCCTGTAGAAGGCTTACTTACAACACCTTTACATTTCACCCTAATCCGGATTTTGTCATTTTTGGCTAGGTATAAAGACCTCCTTGTTGCTACAGCATGTGAGTTCATGTAGTTTTTAACATCAACCTTGGTTTTGAAGACCTGACCAATCTGAAATGGTTTAACATGAACCTCTCCATGTGAGCATGTACTTGACTTACTCAACTCTTTTAGCAGTCTCTTCCTATCATCTTCATGAAATCCTGCAAATTGATAATCATCAGTGGCAATAACTTCCAACTCATTATCAAAGTCAACCACTCCAATCCCATCATCTTTTGAATGATTGTTCAAGATTCCATGTTCATCTACATCAACAGCATTATGGAATTCACTCATGTCTACATCTACATCAAATTGTATGTTAGACTCATCCACATTGTATTCACTGTCATCAGAATCATCTCCACTATCCTCAGAACCATGGCCACTCTCAGAGTAGAAAGCATCTCCACTATCATCACTCACCATACCCTCTAGATAATCCACTTCTGGTTGTTTTTCAAATGAAGTTTGAACATTAAACTCACATCATAATCAGCATAAAGTGAGTAATCCTCTACAAATGGTTCATAGTCATCAACTGTTGTAGTATTAGCTCCATTATCAGCTTGGCAGCTTGGTTCCTGTACATGGTAAGTTCCCAATTGTTCTTCAGTTTCAACTGCACTAGTGATCACTTCTTCTTGAGTTTCAATTTCATGATTCACCACTTCCTTTTGAATGACATGACTTTCTTTACCTTGTGACCTTATAAATGGTACAATACTCTTTGAGTAATCATGGCCTTCATCAACATCTAACACTTGTGACTGCTCATAATCAGGGTTCATATACTTGTTTAGATCAAGCTTTCTACTACATGAGCCTGCTTCTCTCCTACAAGGTTTCTTTCTATTCATTTCAGGTGACACACTGTCAGGCTCCAACTCTTCAATAACAACTTTAGAAGGAGACTTGTAATAACTACCTACCCTTGTCTGACCAGTTTCAATATACACCCTAATAAGTCTGTGTTTAGGGACATATGATACCATTTTAAGTACATCTTGATCATTACCTAAAGGCATTAAGCCATAGTCCAAAGGGTATTCAGGGATACAGAAATGGTAGTAAAGGGTTTGCTCAGTTTTGTACCCTAGTTCTCGAACCATGTCGTCAAGATCATGAACTGAAAATAAATCAGTGTCAACATAATCTACATATGCTACAACACCATCAACGTATTTCCTTCCAGGTGCTTTGGTGAAGACACCACTGTAGTGTATCTTCAACGTGAAATAGTTCTCATAACCTTCTGTAAACACAAAAAAAAGAAAGAGTAAAATCAATGATTTCCTTACGTCAACACAATAGACCAAGAAAAAACAAGTTTTGTTGTAGTATTGTACCGTATGTTTTTCCTAAGTCCTCCACGGTTACAAATTTTTCTCGAAAACACCATATTGATAGCACCATTGCAATTTCTGCAGCTTAAAACCCTAAATCCCAATTTCTGTTCTTGCTTCTTCGATGGGAATGAGCCCGATGACTAAACCTGTAACTGGTTATCTTCTTGGGAGAGGGACGGGTAGTGATGTGCAAGCAAGTAATCATTTCATATTAAAGAGAGGAGGTTACAACTGAAATGACGAAATTACCCCTACAATATTTTATTAAAAAATGAGTTAACGGTGAAATGCTAACGGAGTGAGCCGGAGGGACCATTTGTTAAAAGTTTTGAAACCACAGGGACCATCTGTGAGGTTTTTTGAACTTAGGGACTAAACTTGATATTTCTGGAAACCACAGGGACCATTTTTGAAGTTTATTCTAAATATAATTATCTATTTAGTATTATTTTTAGCAATTATTATTATTATTGATTAAATATATTTTTACTTATGCGATCATTTTATAATTTCAATAATAATGCTGATTTAAAATACAACTTATTTATAGCTAAATGTAATTTATAATTTGATGTTATTATCATTTAAAATTGTTATTCATTAATTTTAAACCATTTACTAAGTTACTATTAATAATAAGTTAAAGAAGACTTGTAAGAAACACTTAATATTATTATTAAAATGTGAAACATACACTAAATAATAAAGTGATAAAATAGACAATTTGCATTTCAAAAGAGACATGCATGGATAATATGATATATCCATGTAATTTGATTTTATTATTTATAATTATTGCTTATTAATTTTAAAACCACTTGTTATTATTAATAAGTGAAAGAACTTTTAAGAAACACTTATTATTATAATTAAAATGTTAAACATATACTAAAATATAAAATAATAAGATAGACAATTTGCATTTTTTAAAAAAAATGCTTACATGGATAATATGACATATCCATTATTTTTAATTAATTATTGTTTTGAAGCAACATGAACATACAAACATGTATACAATAGTTAATTAAATATTATATATATCACCTTCCATAACATATGATCAATAACATGAATCTAATTTACATTAAAATTTCAACCACAACATACAATGATATTCTTAAAAGAATACTTAAATCAATAAAATACAAAGAAGAATTAGTATATAACAAACTTACAAATTAAAAACTTCAACATAATAACATGGCTCGAAAAATTGTTCAAATCCCTCAAACCAACACAAAAAACTTTAAACTTGTTTTCTTTATAAATTTGTATGTGATTTGTATTTGTGTGTCTACTAAAAAAGATTGACCTTTTTATAGTAGAGTATCCATTAATTGTTTATTAAATATATTATATAAGTTATAAAATCTTTGAATTGTTAATCATTATTAAGAGACCTTTGAGTGGTATTCATTAAAATAGGGGGTTTTAAATGCATGAGGTGTTTGCAAATTTTATGGGGGTTTTAAATGCATGAGGTTCAAGGAAAAATGCTAGCTTTATAAGTATGTATGATTTGGTTTCAACCTAATAAAAGGCCGATTATCTAATCGAGCTGAAACCTAATTTGGAGATTCTGATTTGGTTTTCACTTTTGATATTAGAACAACCGGTATGCTCTTCAAAGTTGCACTGGAAAATCGGACCGGAACCGAAACTGTTAGAACCACAATATATAAAACCGGTTCCAGGTTTAAAAATTGGCATTATTCGGGTTCCAGGTAATCCGGGTTTGGGTCCATCGGGTCCGGGTAAACTGGGTCTAACAAAACCGGAACCGGTGTTAGGAACCGGAACCACTTTTAGGGTCGGAACTGGTTTTTGTGAAACGTTTAAAATACACATATCTCATTCGTTTCAACTCCGATTAACATGCGGGTTTTTTCCAACATGTAGTTTAGAGTTTGTACATGATTTTAGACTATAAATTTTCCATTTTTAGTTTTGTGCTCATTGACTTACAGTGACCCAAAGTCGAGATATCAAAGCTGAAAGTTTTTAGGTTTTCACTTTTTTTTTTTTTTTTTTTTTTTTTTTTTTTTTTTAATTATGTGAAAGTATTAGAACATGCATATCTAATTCGTTTGAAGTTTGATTGACATGTGGTTTTTTCCAGCTTGTAGTTTAGAGTTTGTACATGAGTATAGGCTATAAATTTGTCACTTTTGGTTTAATATTCAATGATTTAAAGTCCCCCGAAGTTGGGATATCAAAACTGAAAATTTTCAAATTTTCAGCTATTTGTTTTTGTACTTTGTATTTTGTGAAAATGTTAACACATACATATCTCATTCGTTTAAAGTCTGATTGACATGCGGTTTTTTCCAGAATGTAGTCTAGAGTTAGTACATGATATTAGACTATAATTTTGTCAATTTTGGTTTCATATTCAACGAGTTATAGTTCCCCAAAGTCGGGATATCAATATGAAAATTTTCAAAGTTCAACCCACTAAGTAGTAATCAATTATCAAAAATTTCTAGTTTTTTCGGGGTTTCCGGTTCTAAACCCACTTTATCCGGTTCCAACCTACCCACTTTGATGTTTCCGGGTTTTCTAGTTCTAGACACCCGGAACCGAACCGAACCGGTTCCTATATACCGGTCCGGTTTTCGGTTCTATAAAATCCCGTTAACTGGTTCCGGGTTTTCCGGGTCTGGGTCCATTCGATCCGGGTTTGGACCAACTTTCATCTCTAATCTACGTGGCCACTAACCACAAACATGAATACCAACCCAAGGTGTCTGTGATGGCCCGTGGTCATAGTGATTTGTTGTGACATCCCCAAAATCTCGACCAGAAAAGACCAATTTTCATTTATGCTTTTAAAATAAATTCAGAGTAAATCTTTTTGATTTGAAAGAGTTGCGGAATTTGTTCCCAAAAACAAAACATGATAAAACAATGTTTACCAAAGCATTTCATAAAAGAAATGTATTTTTCATTATATAATCAAAACTCGGGGTGTCATGTTCCGATACAGACCAATAAGCATAAACGATAACATTACAAGTCATTCAACAAATATATACATATACAGACTTGTAAACAAAACAACTTGATGGTTCATCCATCTTATGCCCTTGCGCCACTTCCTGTAATACAAATAAAACTGAGTGGGTCAGGCTTGGGAGCCTGGTGAGCATATAGGGTTTTCAACCCACAATAAATAATTAAATTAATTATTATCAACCAACAATAACCCAGTTACCCATTCCCGTTATTCTCACTTTATGTCCCTAAAATAACTAACACAAGGGACCTAATCTAAGAATATTTTCATCGGGGTGACAACACATGCTGCGGGGGTTCCTCAGCAATATAAGTCAAATAAGGCAACCATGAGGGGGATGGAATACAGCGAATGAACACCCAAGTTCATTAACACCTACAGGTTATGAGCCTGCTAGCGTTCCACTAGACTGTCTAGAAAAGTCCGTGGTCGTCATCTAAATTCCGCTAGATGACTGGATCAAAACAACAACGAGGCCTCTCATCTGTTTATTACACACCAACTATCTACCCATGTTCTACCCAATATATTAGTAGATAAAACATACATTTTTATACATATTTTCAAAACCTGTATAGCATGCTTGATCAATACATTTTCCATATAACAGATGAGGCACACACACATAACACGTATTTCATATAGAAATAATCATATCTGTAAGATAGAAGAAAGTGAATATACATTCACACACATAACAACAAAATATACACATAACACGTATCTCGTATAAAATACTTTATAATTATACGTTAGGAGAAAGTAACAACGCACTTACACGTATAAACAACAATATACTTAATACACTCAAACCATACTTGTATTATTATTGCGTTTATGAAAGGTAGTATACACTCACTTGATCAGAAGATGATCGGACAGCACTACGGCTCGTAGAAGTAGTAATCCTCAGCAGATCTGGAAGATCTCTACAAAAATCAAACTTCTCGCGGGCAGAGCTTCGGCTCGGAAACCGCACTTCTCGGGATCTTCGGGATCTCGGGACTTGCTTCGGGACTCGGGAATGATACCGGGGCTTCGGGGTATTTCTGGCACGCAAA